AAGCTGTATCACGCAATTCTGATTCTTGATGGGTTTTTTTCTGCCTTCTTCTTCTTCGGCTGCTTGTTGTGCGCGCGTGCGTATGTTTGTTTCTCGTTGTGCTTTTCTCTTTCTCTCTCTCTCTCTCTCTCTTTCTCTCTCGTTGTTGCTTACGCGCGCGCTGCAAGAACTTGGCTAAAAGTGGCGACAGAAAGCGTAGCTATGCAACACTGTGGCTGTGTGTTAAGCGTATACAATTTTTATACAGTGCTTGCCACTTGATTAATGCATACAACACGAGAAAAAAAACATTGATATGTACTTATGGAGCTGTTACATTCTTGTAGCGATTGTGTGTGCGCTTTTTTTTCTCTCTTCAGTCTGTTCTTTGGCTTGGTCTCGTGTTCGTTTGCATTTATTTGGCGTACAAGTGGCTCAGCAGCCCAACCAATATACAAAAGCAGTCAAGATAAATGTATCGAGAACAAGGATCGAATACTGATGCATTTTTGCATAAATTGAAGGGAAAATTTATATATTTAAAGAGAGACGATGTGGAACGAGTTCGCTTTTTTCGCTCTCTGCTGTTCTGTTCCTGTTCGCGCAACATCCGAATCAAGTTTCGGTTGCTGATATTTCATTTCATGCGCTAAATTGGCTGTGTTGCTAACTGAAAAATATTTTACCGGATAATGTTTTGTGTGTGCACTTTAAATGTAAACAACAACAAAAATTGTGCTTATGCATCGATGATGCGCCCAAGAAAATGCCAAGTATGCGGGCCGAATCGAATGAGCAAAAATAGGATAATTTCGACAATTCACGTCTCTTTTTATAGAAACTAAGTAAATGATATTTTAATGACAAATGGAGAAAGGATTGCAAATAAACGCTTTTGACCATTTTCAGTTGGCCATGAGTCATGGCCCATGACTAATGGAATTTGAATTAATGCAGAATGTGATTCGTTCGCAAAGCGAAATCATTTCGATTGTTATAAATTGTCCGGGAGTTTAAAAATCATCTGTCATCTCCTTCATTCATTCAGAAAAGAGCGAGAAAAAGGGAGGGAGAGAGAATGCCTGTGTCGATTTTTCATTGCAATCCTTAATTCGGTAGCTTTGAGAAACAATCAAAATTCGATATGGGTACCGCCTGCCAAAACAAACAAACGAGCTTAAAATTGATTTAATTTATGTAGAAAAGTGGCCGGACTCACTCTCGGTTGCAATCCGTTCAATTAGTCGGAACGCACATTGCTCACAGAGTTGTGTTGAGTTCCATTTGGATATTCGTTCAATGACGAATAAGAACACACGGCTATATTTGAAAGTTGCGTGAAAGTAGGCGACTTGCAGCAGAACCATTTGTGGTAAAAATCTCTTTAAATGACACAACCACTCATACGGCATTTATGGTGTTTAAACATACTTTATGCAGGCACTTGCATATTGTCTGTGTGTTGGTGCTGTGTGCACAATAATAATTAATTTCATTTCGGCTGAACGGTTGAGGCGATTGCATTTCAATATGTCGTTACTTCAACGTTCAATGCAAGATAGATGAATTATGGAGAGTCATGAATTGACTTGAGCGCTTCGTATTGCAAACATCCCTTTGGGCCAATCTTCATCCAATTCCATTAGACAGATAGAGCGAACGAATGATGAGGAAAGGAAGAGGAACAACGGGAAAAAAAGAGCAGAAAATAAACCTAAATGAACACAATCGATGAATTACCCAAGAAGTGATCTGGTGTGACTGATTAATGAGTGTGCTAAAAGGATGATGAGATGCATGAATAAAAAAAAATCAACAACAACAACCAGCAACGAACGCCAATAGAAGTGAACCATCTCGCGATGTAACATCGAAACGCTTTAAAAAATATTATGATCTCCGTTGTAAATGTTTGCCAGCGACTAGATTATTTTCTCTTTTTCTCTCTCCCTCTCGATCTATTGCATGTTTGATAGCCGTTTTGATCGTAGGTTGCAATGATTTTCGTGTGAAGGATTATAGAATTCGTTGCTCTTTTTTTTCCTGTGGTCGTCGTCGTCGTTGTTGTTTTATTTTCTTACTCTGCGCCTGTCTGTGCACGCCTTTTATTCGTTCGTATAATTCTTTTAATGCTCGATGTGTACATGGCTTTTGTGAGGCTTGAGAGTATGCACTTACCCATACACTTCGTCTATTTTGCTTTATTATTATCGTCATATCCCATAACTATTATTATTGTTGTCGTCGTCGTAGTCGTCGTTGTTTTTTTCGTTGCATCTTGGTCGAACATTTAGCATTCATTGCCCATAAATATATGAATATTCCGGTGCCAATTGTTGAACACAGCGAATATATACTGCACTTTAGTCAAGTAGAGAGGAGAAAAAAAGAGAACAAACTGTTTTGCTTCATAGGTCGCCTGGCATTTTTTTCCATCTTCTTCTTCGTATTTATATGGAATTGAATACTTTTTTTCATCCACTTTTAAGCAAATTCTTCAATTCTTTACATTTTGTTTCGGCGTGTGTTTTGTTCTCGTTTTTTTTTGTGTGAATTGTGCTTCTTTTTTTCGAATATTTTTTTTCTTCTTTCCGAGCTGTGCATTCGTATGATGATGGTAAGCCTAAGCATCCACGAATGCGATCGAGCTCCGATCTTTTCCAATTTCTTCACATATTTTTTTCTTTCTTCTCTTCTCGTTCCTTCTCACCCGTTTCCATTGAATAGAAAAGAAGAAGAAAAGAAGCGAGCGCAGGCGGCAGCGAACGAAAAATCTCATTTTCTTGGAGATGTTATAAAAGTGAGCATTTTTAAGTCTGATTATTTTCCCATGCACTTTTTTGCACACGTTCGGTTGAAGCGTACGCTTAGAAATAAAAATCGCTGGCAGTATGTGGTTTTTGAGTAGTCAGAGAGAGAGAGAGAGAGAGAGAGAGAGAGAGAGAGAGAGAGATATTCTTGCCTTTGCCTTCACATTACGTACAACATTTTTCTTATTAGTTTTATTATTTGTATTATACAGATACCGCGCTCGCGAGCTCGTCCCTCTCTCTCTCTCTCTCTCTCTCTCACTTTATCCATGCCTCAATACCTACCAATTCGTCTGGTTTTTCAGCATTGAAGCAAAGTGCACTCGTTGCCAAGCACATTGAGTCTGCATTGAAGAGAAGCCCATACGGAATATATGTGCATTGTGCATCGATTAGTGTGGCTCGAAAATGCACACTTTTTTAAAATGCACACAATAAAGTCGAGCATAACCACTGGAGCCATACCGATTTTTATCGGCACACTGTGTGTGTATGTGTGAATAGTTCATTTTCGAGCTGCTCTAGCACAATCGATGACTTTTCACATTGTTGTAGCCTTTTGTCTTTTCAATCTTGTTGTAAAAGCCATTTTGCGTTCAGTTTTTTTCTTCCAAGGCTTGCCGGATTTATATACATTACAATGAACTTGAATTCTGGCTCAGGCATCGGCATTGAGATTAGGGACACAAATTATTATTTCAACTAAATGGAAAAACCTGAACGAAACACTACCAACACAACACAGTGAAGCTCATCCACATTGCAACATCGACGATACAATGTAATCGCTATAACAATTACGCAAAATATTGAGAGAGAGAGAGAGAGAATTTCATTCTTTCCGTTTCTTTTGTCTTCGATACACAATATAGGAGCCGGAATTTTGTTCTCACTAGCCCTCTCTTAGCAAATGCTTCCTTTTTTCCACGGAAATAATGAACATATTTTCATTTCTTGAGAAACTGCACCGAACGAGAGAAGAAGAAAATTTAATAATGATAATGTGTTTGCAATGACTTCCTGTGTGCCACGTATTGTGTAACCCGGCACGTCACACTAAAACACTCATGGGTTCATGAAAAAGTGTAACCATTCAATGCGATCTAATGCATGGCCGTATGAAGGCAGCTTAGGACAGATCATCGTCGACATCATCATTCGATTGCTATTTGAATATGTAAACGGATTAGCGGATGCTAAGTCCCAGACACACAGTGAATCGCTTATAAACAATTTTTATCTGTTTTTATGACTGCTATTTTTGACATCAGATTCGATTTCACCGAGTCTCCGGTGTTATTGTATTTTATTTTTTTTGTTTAGTCGTGCCGCTTGTGATTTATACGCAGCTGAATTGAGAATACACTCAATAGCTATGAAATCATCTCCGCCTTTAATCGCTTACGTGTGTGCTTTTCTCGCCATTCACTCTCAATTATTTTAAACGATTCGATGCATAAGTTGAATTAAAATAAATTCTTCTACTAGGACGCTCATTTCCATCGAGTGTCGGTGTGAAACTGAACTGATTTTAATATTGATAACATTGTGATTGTTTTTTCTTCACCTCAAAAGGTCTTGATGCCGAGATGCACTTGAATAGATTACATGAAATTAAATTTAATTTAAAAACTTGCACCAGCCGACGTGTGTGTGTGTGTGTGTGCGTGCGCGACTGCGATGGCATTTGGTCAATTCTAAAAATGGTGCGCCACACCAAGCGAATGCATAAACGAGCGAGCAACAGATAGGCGAAATTGATTGCAGTTAAAATGCGAATGAAATAAAATGCAAATTGCCAATTTATATTTTAAATGGCTTTATTTTTGGTGACGCCAGCTCGTGAAGGCAATGTAACGTGCAATTTTAAGTGCTGCCGGCACTGAGATGTGGCGATGGTGTGTCTGTGTATGTGTGTAACTGTGTGGTTTCAACTTATAAAGAAATATATACGATCAATTGTGTAGGATCAGTCAATTGAGCGACAGTCAAAATGTTTATGCTGATCCATTGAAAATCAATACGAATTTGCGTTGCTGCTGATTTGAAATACAAATTAATATGTGACCGCCTGAGTGTGCTCCACGCATTGCGGCCTTTGTAAAAAGAAGCAAACATGACCATTTTTTTCTCTTTCGAATATCAAAAAAGAGTTCTTTGAAATTCTATCTGATGAACACTAATTCATTTGTATTTTCTTTTTATTGGCAGATTGCAACAGTTGCTGGAACTGACAATGAAAAGACTGCATCGTAGCGATTCCTTCGATAAAAACTAATCGGTATGCGCCTATTCAATGGTATTTCTAATTTAATATGTCAACTTTTCGCGGTAATAATTTGAACAGCGCAGAGAGAGAGATCGTTGGAAATGAATATTTGATAATTGGATATGAAAATATGAAAACGTCGAATGCGATGCAAACGAAATGCATTTGTAACGGTATGACATTTCAATGCGCACAAAACAATAACAACAACGACGACAGCAACAACGGCTTTTATTTTGCTTTTAAACGTACATCCAATTCAATTTATAGCTACGTGACACTTGTTGCAGTTGGCGCTTTTATGCTTTGTCAATCCATTTACAGATAGTGGATAATGTGTGTGTGTTTGTGCTTTTTACAAAGTATATTACTTATCGGTCATTGATTTATTTCTACAAAATGGTTAACTGTGATGAAGAAAAAGAAAAAAAACATGGAAAAATAAATTACCCGCGTTCATCGTTCATATTTGTTCACTTTTCGACTCTTTCTCTCTCTCTCTCTCTCTCTCTCTCTCTCTCTCTCTCTCTCTCTCTCTCTCTCTCTCTCTCTTACACACAACTCAAGATGCAATTGAAGGTTTCATTCTAGAAATGTACTTGTTTTTCGTTGCTGCATATGCAACTCACGGTGCATTGTACACGAGAACGGAGTGAGAGAAAATCGGTAAAATTGGAAAGAGAGAAAATAAGCAGATGAAAAAAAGCCTGATCACTCTGGACAAGAAGAGCAAAAGATGAGAAGGTATTCAATAAGAATGTGGCCATAAAAAACAATATCTGACAAGAATTGCGCTTGTAATTTTATACATGATGTGCTCGTGTGTATGCTGTGTTCTCTGGACTTTATAGCCGTTATGTAACAGGTTTCATGTTCACTGTGCGCGCACATACGTATAATGACAATAATTTATAGCAATAATAAATCTGTGCGATTTGTGTACGCTGCTTTAATGTAGCCACTTGAACGGAAATCATCTCACGTTTTTTTTGTTCGTTGCTCTTCGATTCATTTCGGTTCGGTTCAGTTTTCTCTTCAGCAAAGTTTTGTTTTTCATTTCTTTGCTCCGTTTTTTTCGCCTTGTTGCTCACATCAACCAACAACAACTACAACAACAGCACATTGATATCAAGTGATCCGGCAATGATTAAAAACCACAATCACGCTTATTTCGTTAAGTTTCAACCCATCCCATCGCATTGCAATCGGAGATGTAGTCCTGAAGGAGTTTCGTCGAATTGAAGTGTTTACTAATTATTTCCACTGTGAATATAGACAAGCATCATAATAATCAAAACGTGTTTAATTGAGCACGAAACAAGCAACAGCCGATTAATGCGATGACGCGAAATGATGAATGAAATGCGTTTTATCACAAACGAATGCACTGTGATTGAACTAATTCATTTGGCTGTTGTTGCTGTTGCAAAATGTTTGTTCATTTCCATGCGTTGACGCGATCTGACGATGATTATTACAGACGCACAAGCGAAATAATTGCTAATTAAATAATATTGCTTTGGCTAATGCATTGCCAGCATAAAAGTATGTCAACGCAAATCGACAGGCCGCTGCCTACGGCAAGCTAGCAAACGAAATGTTCTGAATGAGTCACACACACAGCAAATGCTCAATCCGATGGGATTTCATATAGTCGACGCATTTCTTGCCTCATATTCTGGCAATATTATTAGCTTGACTTGTTGGTGCGCTGTTTTGGTTTCTGGGCTTGAATTTATATAATTTAAAATGACACACTCACTCGTCTCAGTGGACGTTTTTTTTGTCTGTTTTTTTTATTCCTTTGCAATTTCTCTTCTCCGTATGTGTCGAAACCAAGTAAATCGAACACTGAACATGATCTCAACTCCGTTCTTTGCCCATATTACACTCTCTTATTCTTTTGCATCAAATTCCAAATTCACTGGAATCTTCTCGCATTACATTTGATTGCGGCTGTGCTGTAATTCTGCTAATGACATGTAAAATCGCTTATAATTGACACGATGAAGTGGCTATTTATTTGTGGATGCTTAATTTTGCTTTGTTTCATTTCGACTCCATTTCAAAACAGATACAATGCGTGTGGCGGCTGTTGAACGTCAAAGTCATTTGAGGCGACGCGAGCGCCCCCAATTTCAAAGGGCACATCAATGTAATTTAACATTTCAAATCGGAACTAAACAGCGCGCCAATTCGAAATATAGGAAAATATAGTGTCAACAGCCGCACCATGATACAATGCACTGTGTATATGATATGCGTGGATTTTTCGCGTAACCAATTGAAATGCATTTCGAATTGGAGTCTGGGGTTGGATGTGTTTGTGTGTTGCATTTATTCGTAACATTATCCGCAAATGATTTGATTTTGCACTCTCAATGTGTGTATAGTATATAAATCTGGAATTATACATGATTCCGAGAGAGAGAAAGAGAGAGAGAGAGAGAGAGCGCGCGCGCGTTAAATGGGCAAACATGCGGTTAATCGGATCCCAATGGGAAAAAAAATTAAACAGATTTGAAACAGGCTGTCTTCATTCCATTCGGTTTGTTGCCTTTTGCGCTCCGTTCATCTCTCGCTCCCTCTCTTTACCTTTCTCCTCCATTAAAAAAGTGCACATCTTTCGAAGAGCGCAGTTGTGAGTCGAATTAATTTTGCGGCTGTTGATGATAATGATGGTTAACACGAAAGTCCAATAATGGTTAACGCGATTATACGTATTATACGAAATTATATAAAGGAAGAGGTGTGATGCTTGTCGAATGCAAGTGATTTTATTTCGTTTGCTTGCTCGCTTACTCACTTGCTACGCCGGGCAACAAATTATTGTTATCGTGCATTCGGATTAGGATTCAAGTTGCTTTGCTCCTCTCTAAATTCCAATCGATTGAAAATAAAATGATCAGAATGGCGACGCGAAATTGCGTTAGATTCTTCGATCGCATTTTGTGAACATATCAACGAATGGAGCGAATTGAGCAAAGGAATTTTTCAACTCTCGACAATGTCAACAATTTCACCGTTGCATACATGGAACGCAAACAGAAAAAAAAAGTCAAACCACTCGTGGTTTGATATTGTGTTTGTGGCTACTTTGGGTTTTGTTGCTCTCTGTCTCTGATGATGGAAAACGACTAAAAATACCACGAAAACAGAAAAAAAGAGACGAAACGAACAGTGTCGCGCTGTTACAACAAGGCATTATACACACTTTAAACGTTTTTCCATCACTCTGCTGCTGATGATGTGCCGATCGTACATGCGAGACAGGTATTTTATGTGCGTTCACAGCCTTTATGCCAGCTAGTGGTTTTTGTTCCGTTCTGCACACGAGCACACAAAACGAACGAACGAGCGAGCAAGCGAGGCAGATCCATGCTCGATGCAAGAGTGCTTCTTTTTCCATCAGAGTTCGCGCATTAAGCATGCAGAACAAGTACTATCCTCAAGCGGAATGTTTTCGTTGTGAGATGCTGTGCGTTATAACATATATCTGTATGTATTTTGTTCTGTGATTTTTATTCCTTAATTTTCTTTTCATTCGAAATTCTTTTGGATTCACATATATATCGTTTGGTCTTGCTTTCTCAACGCCTTCATCGCGTATGCATCGCTCGTCTCTTCCATGTTCTACACTGTCTCTCATCATACATTTTCCACACAATCCTTGTACTGCACTGATTGTCGTTCGATTTTTTTTTCCTCGTTTCGCTGTTTGCTGTGATTCCAAGACTATGTACGAAACGAAAAAAATCTTACGTACGCTCGGTATCACAGCATCGCAGTTTATTCGGAATGAAGTAACACACCGAAAAAAAAACGACAACAACGATGACGATGGAAAACAAAAAAGAAACGCGCACATTAACCAACTTTTCGTTTTGAGTATATACTGCATTTTAATATACATTTTGTGTATAACGTGCATCCCAGTGCAGAGATAACAAAGGAAGCCAAATGGGCGAGTACAGCGGAAAAGAGAACGGAGATCGAGCGAAACACGATTAAATTGAATAAAATAAAAGGCAAGCAAAAAAGAAGAAAACAAAAACGAAGAAATGGGAAAAAGGCAACATCACCACCACCACCAGCAACAACAACCATGTAGACGCGCGTTCACATATAACTGAACTTGTTCATTTTAATCAATTTCCAATAAAATGTTGTACCTTTTTACCAAAGCCCAATGCGAAATTCCTTTGGTGATGCTCTTTGACTCTCTGATCTATCTTCGGTCGGTCCCGCACACACACACACACACAAAACCACGTTCCGCTTGTGATCTCGACGGTTCGCTTCTGTTTTGCTACGCAACCTCTGGCGCAAATGAACTACAACCATTTCATGGTTCACAATTGTAATATATATATTACACGCCGAACAGTAGAAGACAGTACCTGCCAAATAGATAAATGCTTTTTAGTGTACTGGACCATCGAAATTTATAGAGTTGTTTACGTACAAAATCTCTTAGAGCTGTACAGTGCACAGAAACACCCGCACTCGACACAACTTTCATCGTCATCGTCATCGTGGCCGTAATTTATTTCGCAAAATGCCAGACGATGACAAGATCGCGCGTTGATCATGATGACTGAGACGGGAATTTTATTATGATTATTGTGAAACCTGTGCTCCGTCGATATTTGGCTCTCACTCTTGCCTTGCCAGTCCTGTCGCTGCTGCCACTGAGCCAAGCCGAGCCAAATTGATGTATAATACGCGATACATTTCAATGTGCCATGGATGCCACAATCGAGATAAGTAAAACGCACAACGGCACAAAATTATATATGCGTTCACATTTCGAATTGGCCATAAACAAAATCTCGCCAATTAATTTTCGGCTTTTTTCCGCGATCGTCGTCGTTCTTACTTACTTTTCTTCATTGTTTACGTTCGCAAGCATGCATACACACATGCACACACGGCCCAGTATTTTGCTGATCTTTCCCGTTCATAGCATTTGCCATGACACTCTCGCGATTTCCACCAAGCGAACAGCGAGT